TCTCCCCGGCCCCTTATACCCATTCTCAATCGCGGTCTCAATGTGCCCTGGGGGCGGGGCCAGCACAGCAGGCCCGGGTTGGACCCCCAGCCCCTGCACCTGCTTGCAGGCACTTTAATCCACTGAGCTATTTGGCTGGCCCTTAAATTTATTTATTTATTTATTGTGGTACTGGGGATTGAACTCAGGATCTTGTGCTTGCCAGGCAAGCACTTATTCTACTGAGCTATCTCCCTGGCCCTTAAATTTATTTTTGAGAGTATCACTAAATTGCTAAATTGTCCAAGATGGGCTCAAACTTGCATTCTTCCTGCCTCAGACTCCTAGAGTGCTGGGATTATCAAGGGTTTCATTTGTTTTTTTAAAAACATTTTTAAATAATTGGGTAAAGGGGCTGGTGAGATGGCTCAGTAGTCTAAAACACCTACTTAGAACAAGCTCAACAAAGCACAGGGACCGCGGTTCAATCCCCCAGCACCACATGCCAGCCAGCCCCGCCCCCTGGTGGGCTGAGCTGGCCACACACACACACACAAATAAATAAAAATTTAAAAAATAATAATAATAATTGGGTAAAGTCAAAAGAAGAACAGATTTTGTGGCCTGTGACAGTCCTGTGTGACACATAGCCATATCTGTTCATTTCCATTATGTCCAGGATGGTCTGCTTTGACTCCCAAGGGCAGACCTGATTGCCACTAATGGGGTCCTGTATGGCTGTTGTTTTCAACCTTCATGTGGGTCCCTGCTGTGTCCCCTGGCTTCCTAGTATGTGACTTCCTCCACGCTGCACCTTCTTGAGTCATGCCTGGCTGGCTCACTGCAAGGACAGCAGGGCAGATTGAGTGACTTGGGTGTCATTAGCGACTGAGTGTCAGGCCCCCCCCCCCATATGTGGAGGCCCTGATCCCTTGCATGGCTGTATTTGGAGTGGGGCCTCTTTGGAAGAAATTAAGATTGAGTGAAGTCGTAGGCTCTGACCCTCAGCTGATGGACTTTGTGTCCTTAGGGGAAGAGAGACTCTCAGGACTGGGCTTGATGGCACACACCTGTAATCCCAGCATTTGGGAGGCTGAGGCAGGAAGATTGCCAGAAGTTTGAGGCCTGCGCCTCACAGCGAGACACTATCTCAAGCCCATTCCCTTAAAAAGAGAGAGTGGCTCTGGAGCCAGGCTGCCTGAGTTTCATTCCAGCCCTGCCGCCTCCCACCTGTGTGATTTGGGTGCTTTGGTGTTTCCTTTGGGTGCTTCCTCCTGTAAAGTGGGGGTGATGCTGACAAGAACTGGCATTGGGGTGGCTCCTGCCATGGCTGTCCCCTCTGAAGTGCTGGTGGCAGCAGATGGCAGTGGTTCTGTTTTCTCTTTTGAAGTTGGGCCTAGCGAGGAGACAGTACAGCAGGGTGGGTACAAGCTTGGCTTCCGGAGTTTCAAAATCCCAGCCCTGCCACGTGACAGCCTGAAGCCCTCAGCACAGGTTCTCATCTTTTTGCTCCCCAGGACCAAAAACTCATGGGGACCCTCAAAGGGCTTGGTTTATGTGAGGTAAATTGATCAGTGTTGGCCATATTAGAAACTGAAACTGATGGGCCGGGGAGATAGCTCAGTAGAATAAGCACTTGCCTGGCAAGCTCAAGGTCCTGAGTTCAATCCCTGGTACCGCAAAAAAAAAAAAACTGAAACTGAGATCTTTTTTTAAAAATTTTTTTAATTATTTATGTGTGTGGCCAGCTTAGCCCACCGGGGGGCGGGGCTGGCTGGCATGTGGTGCTGGGGGATTGAACCGCGGTCCCTGTGCTTTGCTAAGCTTGTTGTAAGAAGGTGCTTTAGACCACTGCGCCATCTCACCAGCCCTGAAACTGAGATCATAAAGAAAAAGTAGTTGGTGCAAGAATGGGCACCCATGGGGCTGGAGAGATGGCTCAGTGGTCTAAAGCACCTACTTGGAACAAGCTTGGCAAAGCTCAGGGACCGCGGTTCAATCCCCCAGCACCACATGCCAGCCAGCCGCGCCCCCTGGTGGGCTGAGCTGGCCACACACACACACACACACACACACACAATAAATAAATGTTAAAAAAATAAAAAAAAAAAAGAATGGGCACCCTGCGGCTGGCGAGATTGCTCAGCGGACTAAGCACCTGCTTTGGCAAGCTTAAAGTCCAGGGTTCGATCCCCCATCCCGCATACTGCGCCAGCCCTGCCCCAGGGTACGCTGAGCCTGCCACCGAGTGGCACGCACCAGTAGTCCTAGCGCTGGGGAGGCTGAAAACAGGAGGATCACTACCAGTCCGAGCTGCGCAGTGAGACCCTGTACCAAAAATACATAAAATGAAAAAAAAAAAAAAAAGACACTCTGGCATTTACCCATTGGGCATGTACAGTCCAGGGGGTTCAGTCTATTTGCTGTGTTGTGTACCCATCACTGTTTCAGAACAACCCAGCACCCCCAGATAAGCCCTGTGGCCAGCAGCAGTCCCTGCTTACCCCTTGTCTGCCCCAGCCCATCGCCACTGAGCTACATTCCCAGCCCCTTTTTAACTTTTCATTTTGAGATGGGAGCT